GCAGTCGCAGTCGCAGTCGCAGCAGCTTTAGTACTAGCAGTAGAAGTGATAATAATGGTAGCATGGGTAGTATTAGCAGGAGCAGTCGCAGTAGCAGTAAGGGTAGCAAGTGCAGTTGTGGCAATTGTCATTGTAGCAAATGAAGGGGGGTGATCAATAGATAAAACAGAAGTATTGGCTCATCGTTGATTTTCTCCGTGGTGGTCGCTACTCGGATATGTCAGTTGCTGCAGATGGCCATAGTTCTGCTGTTCATGATCACAAGAAATGATGCTGGGCATCCGGTCCTAGTTGTAGACTATATTATCAATCTTCTTCTTAGTACTTGTCATTGTTCTAATGCTGTTTATCTTTAAGCACCCGACTAAGAAGGTGGGCTAGTGCACACCACGGCTCCACTCAACTCAGGAAGTTCCGGGGCAGATCGCCGGGCTTCCAGCCTGGGCCAAGCAAGGCATGCAACTTATAGGTGACCATTACCCCACAGTCGTGACTCGTGACACTCGCGATTCGCGGGCTACTTAAGAGTCGGACATAGCTTTGATTTTGACGATCTGCTCTTTGAGCATGTTTCGACGGGATTCAACAGCGTTCGCAGAGTCCATCATAACACAATCGTCATCTGGAAACTCGTTCTGCTTTGGTTCCTTCACTCTGGGCTTGCTTTTAGCAGCCGTTGCTTTGGTAGACACTTCCACCTCCTGGGGCGGCTCCACTCCGTCGATCTCATCAATAGCTTGCTGAACCTCATCACGAGCAGCCCCTTCAGCTGCATCCAACTCCGGATACTCTTCCTGGCATGGACAAATCAAATCAGATCCGAGCCAGCTGCAAACCGACCACAAGCCCGGGAAATGGCCCACGTGCCTTGTTGCCGAAATTCGCGACGATACGGCGATAATCCACATCCTTAAGATAAGGGGGCTTCAGGAGTATCAAGAGGTTTGGAATGCATTGGAAATCCACATATTCTGATGCATGATGTTGGTCGAGATTCTCGAGCTTGTCGCTCGCTCAAGAATTGCTTCTTGATCATTGAAAGCAACGATTTCAAGTACTTCGCATCTTGATGAACGGAAGCTTCCACTGAGGCAGGCATCTTGAACTCTTGAGGAAGGCTGGGGTATCGGCCGCTACCCGAAACCTTCTTCCTTTCTTTGCTTTCGAAATACTTTGTCCAAGTCACAAGCAACTCAGCTTCCAAGGCATCGAGGCTTGGGATCTTTAGATTCCTAGCCGCCCTCATCTGAATAGCAATCGGGATTAAGAAAGCATCATTCAGAATCGCTGTGCTTTGCATGGGCAGAGGAACCTTCTCTCCTTCCGGCGGGAGGATGAGACCCTTCGACCCCTCTTCCAAAAGCCTATCTTTGAGCTCAAGGTTAGCATGCCATCCAACACCCAGGCCGGATATATCGACATCATATACGGTTCGATCCATGGCTCGTCGCGAGGCACCCTACTCGAAAACAGATCTGAGTGAAGTGGCAGAGGTTTCCCAGCATGCTTGCCTCTAACTCAAGCTCATAGCAGCTCTGCATGCTTATGATGTTCGCACAATGCAACCAAAGCTTGCAAGCGGGGTGGTCGCACCTGTACTTCGGCGGCATGGCTCGTCTCCAGCCAAAGGTGTCCCGACATGGCTAGCATCGTGCAAGAAGCCTGAAGGCTTCACGATCATCGTCGTAGTGTTCACTGATAAGTCACTGATAAGTCTGAGTGAAAGCATGAAAGAGTGATCAGTGCTGAGCTCGCCAGCCCTGCCCACGATGTTTAAAGACACTGCTGCCATATCCAATTATGGAACCCCGGCGGACCTCCTCTGAGCCGTTGATTCGGCGAAACGACGGTGTGAGTTCCTGTAAAGGCGGTTAGTCCTACAGGGTCATCGAAACTACTAAATATGCTTACTATGACTTTGTGCGGGGGCAGGCCGGGAGGTTCGGGAGTCGGCTACAACAATATACCTAATCTGCCAAGATGGCACCCTCAGCTCTGCTAAAGAAAATATGGCCGCTTTACTAACACCACTAAAAACTTTCTAAAACCGAAATTCGGCTCAATTACGGGGAAATCCAGATTTCGCCATAAGGACATAAAAAAGCGGCCGCTAGTATTCCCAGGAAGACCCTATTCTGATTCCCTAATTTGGGGTTTCGGGGTTAGCGTTTTGGTGTCTAAGGGTATCTCGTGGTTCAGGGTTCAAGGGGTGTGAGCTGGAGGAAGTTAGATGGGTTCAATGTTCAAACGGTCGGTTTCCACGGTAAGGGTTGCACCTGCCCGAGCCCAGGTTTAGGGTTTCGGGTTTAGGGGTTAGTAGGGGCTTTAGGGTTTAGGGTTTCGGGTTTAGGGGTTAGGGGCTTGGGGCTTTAGGGTTTAGGGTTGAG